TTGAATTTAAATTTGTTTTTACATAGTGTGCTGATTAATAGTCATATCAGGTGGGTCAAGGCGAATTGTATACGTAGGGCGCGCGTATTTGACAGCATGGCCGTATATATCGCACTCTGGCACTCATTGGACTGATTACTTCAAAACACCATGCTATCTATGTTACTCGCTGGTCAACGGTCGGTTATTCGTTTCGTGGCTCGTTGCACCAAAGCGCAATAGAGTGAATTCCTTGCTCAAGGTAATTAGTGGTTAATAAACGAAAATTCATGCCGCACTTTGAGTTTGCACTTCTAAAGTGCTAAGCAAACTAGTAACCAATCTTGCGAAACTCCCCGGCCCTTTTCGATCCACTGCTGGATAGAGGCCTCTTTCAGATATTGTCGCAAAATTCTGTCGTCTGCGAATCTCATCTATTTTGTTGCAACAACTTTCTTCAACTCATCGTGTCAACGATCTCGAGGTTCACTTAAAAGCCGTTAGCCACCACTTGGAACTCAGTCTAATATATCTTTGGTAAATCGATGGTCGTTTCTATCTGCAACGTGTGATGCACATTGCTGCTTCAAACTCTTCACTTGCGCAACCACATTGCATATTCCTGCTTGTACTCTTACCTAATTTCTACGCCCTCGAATTTTTTCTTATTATCTCCATGTGTGCATCTTCATCCTACGATGATTGAAATTTTTAATTCGTAGATAGCAAAAGAAATGAAAGCGTCATCGTTTTACTGAGATAAACGACTGACTGTGGAGTCAGTATCAATAATCATTTGATAGTTACGTTAGGAATAAAATTGTGCCCAGCCCAGTCTCAACGACTGACCTGTCGGCGAAGGATAAACAAGAATTTCGCTATTTTGGACATATGATAAATATCACCGTGGCGATGACAGTGAACAGTGATGTGGTACGAGTTTTTCACGTGCCATTTTTTAGAATAAATGGATGAAGCAAAAGTCCTGAAGCAGCCGACGGAACAGTTCATCACTACCATCTACCCTACGGTGCACACGAAGCGTAGCTTCATTCGTTCGAAGTCAAATAAAGAAGCGCTTTCGATCTTAAAATCCTGGTCAGAGCTGAACAAGGACCTCGACAAACAAAAATCAAGAACAGTAATCTCTTGGGTAATAGACTTAATAACTCACGACGAAGTTTAGGTCAGACTTCCGAGTTTTGGTGCTGGTGGTTATGGCGACCGCTTCGCTACGCTTTGGGAATGGCCTTTAGGAGAGCCGTTCATTTATTCAGATGAACACAAATTTGAAGCGCAACTTTGTTTCAGTCCATTTTTGCCGGATCAAATTAAGGTAATATTTCAATTTTTACACTCGGTAGTGCCATTTTTGTGCAACAAAATGGAATAAAAAAATGCAAAGGCAGCTACATCTATTCCAACACTGACACTGCCTTTGGCGCCTGCAGACATTTTCAGTGAATTGCATGAAAGGACCACTTCTGCATGAGGACACAGTCATTCGTCGATTGCTTTCATTTTGTTTTGCTACAGTGAAATAGGTTTCAAAATGGTATAAGCCAGTTAATCATGCAGTGATGCGCTTTCAACAAACCCCAAATTGTCATATCCATAAAGCATTATGGGTAGTACCAACGGCGGCACTGCAAGCGTGGAATTTCCTTAAAGCTACTCTACACGTAAATCTCCCATCGTAGGCGCCTAAGATATTTCCTTACCTCAACATCACGAAGATGATTTCCTATGAAAATTCTCTCATCGAAAGTACATCTAACAGAAGGCCGGAAACCCAGGGAACAGGAAGAATCCGCCGCCCATGAGTTGCAGTTCGGAGTTGCCTATATGCATTTCCCCCGTCGAATCTAAAAATGAAATTAAACCAAATTTTCGATAAGTCATTAACCATGTTTGAACATACATTTCCACGATTATTTCACCATCCCAAACCTAGTAAAAGCGGTTTCGATGAACAGCAAGAAATTAAAGTATGGTTCCTTCGCAAATACGAACACTGAAGCAATCATCCGCAAAATATCAATGAATGCTTTCTGTCGGCATTTTCTTTCTGTCCGACAGTGTAATTCAGTGTTCAGCTTCACCGTGGTTTAAGCTGAGGTTAAAGAATTTCATCTTTAGAGGGCTGCACTTCCAACAACTTTCAGCTACAGTATCAACCGCTGGTAGGCTAAGGGATGTCTTTGCTACTGTAATTCATTACCACAACGAGGCTGATGCCCAAATGTATTAAACGAGGAACAAACCATATGATACTCTATTATATGAATCATGTGATTATTAATTTTAGGCACTAAACCTTGCATAGTTTTTCAACTGAGTAAAGAAATATTTGTCGCCATCCGTAAGCAATGGATCTAGAATGATGAACATACAACACTGATGTCAATAATTTACATCAGAATAGTTCGTCACATGAGTTAATCACCTACCTTCATTAATGACGTCAGTCAAATTCTTCTAACTACTGCTACACTCAAGATGTGTCATCCACCAGAAGTGTGTTCGATCAATACGCACGTGACGTGCTATCGCCTGCTTCGTTAGAGTATATCTCTGTGTAAAGCACCTTCTCACTTGCGAATGATTTTGAATATTTGCTGAAAAGGTACACACAGGCTGCATTCTGGTTCTTCAGGTTCATAGATTATACTTCTAAAACTAAAATAAATGTCCAGTGAATTGGACAATATTCATGTTTTACAGAGTTGATTTCCCGAGAAGTAGTTCAAATTTTCCGTAGCTACTCTGTTGTAGGTTCCCTCCTAATCTAAAACACTAGCAACCCTACTTCACTTAGTTACCTGTCCAGCTTCGTAGCTGAACATGAGAACTCTATCGGCTCATGAAACTTAGCCGATGAATCCACACGCAGATCACTCTTCGTAGGATTATTGAGCAATTCCAACGGTTTCAGTCGCCTTGATGTGCTATTTTCTTCGACAATAAGCCGTGTGGAAAATTCTGAAAAACAATGAGATACTTGAACGCATAGTTTCCATTTAGGAAGTTGAATTCAGGAACCATGTTTGCTGTCGTAGTAGAAAGAGAGCAACTTCACTGGTTCCCGACTAAGTGTGGGGTTCGTCAGCGAGGTGTGCTTTGCCTTTGCCATTAAACATTCTTCTCAACTTTCTTTTCTGAAAAAGTGCTGACCTTAGCAAAGTCTAGAGGTAAGGTGCTGTTTAAAACATCTGGCTCGATATATTGCTCACCGGGAAAACGCAAATGAATTATAGAGAAGAACAGGACAGAAAGAGGGCTCTACCACTACGGTTTCCGTATGCAACGTAGCTGCGACAAGGTCTACCTTGAAGTGCAGAGGTAGAGAGTTGTGAAGGATCCATTAAAATTTTTGATCACCTGAGCTACTAGTGTAATCGAGAAGAGAAACCATAGTGCAAATCGACCAACTTGAGTATCTCACTCAATCCTCGCCAGCAGTGGCTCGATCCATTCACATTCGAATAGTAGAATCGCTATCTTTTCCAGTGCTTTTGGTAACCTGGCATATATTTTTGCTCAAATTTCAACTGTACTTTACGCGGCCATGTCACAGTGATGTTGCACGGCAATATATACGCTTTAACACAGAACCAAGAACAGCGGTTGAAATGCGTGCAACAACGTTGAGTTCCACGCATAATGACGGTTAATTGGCCAGACCACGTACGGAACGATTTTAACTGATTAGGGGACAGATGTCTGCCCTAGATAAAAAGAATGAGATAAGTTGGCTGGCCCCGTTTCACAAACTGATTGAGCATGAGCCGTTCACTTTAGCCCTGGCCCGGTGCTTATGGTATGAGAACCGAAACACGGCAAACATCAACCGGTAGGCAAGCATACAACTTGGAGGAACAAGGTAGAGGCAATCAGATGTAGAAGAGGAATTGTTTCTTCTTCGATGTAGCAACCGGTGTCTTAGAGCAAACGCGTTTTAACGCTGCGAATACAGAGCCATCAAAAAGCAGCGACTGTCAGCTTACGTGAACGGCTAAAGTTGATTGATGATCACAAAGACGGTGATCAATCAATCTTTTAAAACGGTGATCAATCTTAGGATTATCCTTTGTACCTGTCCATGTAGTCATCAACGTGACAAAGTAAAATCAATCAACTCGCAGTATATGGAGGGAAACAGAGCCATGCCATTTTGACATCTAGGAAATTTAGGCCGTTTCAACTGTACAATAAGGCTGCGTATTTTTACAGGCGAAGGTCATGGGAAACGAGCTGATGGTGCACTGCAAGACGGACAATCTGCAGGCCACACACCGAGAAATATTCCGTTGCTACCAGCTGCCTTTAAATATCGATATTGGATCAATACAATTTTCTATCGTCGATCATAAATATTTGGTTGTACGAGCTTCAAAAGATAAGCCAATAAAGCTGGCGTTGGCATTCGATGCGTCAGATGGCAAAAGCGAAACGAATTTTAACGATGAAGCCTACATTACAGACAAATAAACAGAAATCAACAGGCCGAATCTTCACCACCGGTTATAAGCTTTCAACATCTGAAGGTGACTGAAACTTTTTGCTGTTCATTTAAACCTATATAAATTTCGGCCGCACTGTGTGCTACGTTTATATCTGTAACCTGAACAACGACTGACTATTTGTTCATGCATTTTTGCACTTACACATCAACTGAGCGAAGCAGACAATACAAAAATGGAAAATAATAAGTTAAGAAGAAACTTTTGATAAGAGATCAAAAGTTGCTCTGGGCGATTAGCTTCTTTCGCTTTATGCGTGAAACCTGCTTACTCGTAAGGAAACTTAATGAACTCCATGATCAAAGCATCACATGAATGAGCAGGAAAGCCGCACACTCCTTCGAATAACAACTGCTAAAACTGCTCTCGGTTCTGAACCAGAAATTCATCGCTCTATACCACTTAAAATCATATCCTACAAGCGTCTCTATCAGAGTAAGTAAATAGGTGTCAAACACCTACATTTCAGATGATTAAGTGTCTCATTGTTTTCTATTTTATTAGTTTCGAGCTATAAGTTCACGAGTTTGTTAATTCTTCCAGAGATTCAAATTCGTTGGTAAAAGCACATTTCGAATGTTCAATGCTGTGCTATGCTTCTTCGATGCCTCTTCGCTTATTGAAGCGCTGGGTTCCAGGAGGCGGCGTAAATCTTCCTACTGGGAATTTACCCCACTGTTTCAGAAAAACCATCCGGGAAATTGGTTATAATTCACGTCAACTACGTACGATACGGACAGCATGTTGGTGTGCTCATGCCAGAGCGTGCGAGACATACAGCATGCTGGCTGATGCGCGCGCTAGACAGCTGCAGATAGGCTTAACCAACTTAATAGCTGACTGAGTATCAGTAGAATGCGTAAAGTGTCAACTAAATTAAAACAGCCTCTTGATTTTCAGAAAGAACCTCAATCATGTTTACACCTTTCGCACTGAATACAACTAAGATGTGATGAGAGTGATTTGCTTCAACCCAAGAGAGTGCACGCTAATTTTAACTGCACTGTGACTGTCAGTCACATTCATTACTTCAGTTTTCCTTTGGTGGGATATAACTCCAAACTTTTTATCTCCACATGCTGATTGCTCTTAATCGCTGTTGCACTTGCACTGCAAATACCGTGATCACTACTGTCATGCGCATACTGCAAATTATCGGTTCTTCTGATCTTCAAACCTCTGGTCTTGAGTTACAACGACGAACGTAAGATAACTTTGTTAAATATATCTAAAAAAGTAGGCGACCACTGCTATCCTCGTTCGCACAAGCACATAGTGCTAATAATTCCATAATGAACTACCTTGCATGAAACTGTGCCAGCAATAAGCTGAAGAGACTAAGGTAAATAGCCCACATTCATCAGCTAAGTACTGTCCAAGGGCGCAAACTGGGAAGCCCCCACACTGGAAACAACGAGTATAAAATAAAATTCTTTAAGCATTTATTAACGTGACATCTTAGCATCAAAAAATACTGAAGGAACAAAATGCAGCAACTACGCATCATTATTATGAACGATAAGTGACACTGATCCGTCAATTCCAATGTCTTTTAACGTAGTCGATTCAGTAAGGTGATCATTTCTACTGAACAGAACCTTCCGTGGGTAAACGGTTATGACGGAATAATTTTCAGGGCAATTTGGATGAGAAAATGTTACGTCACGCAGCAACTAAAACGAACGGTAAATTTAAAATATTAA